GATGATGGATGGATGCAGTGCTACTTTTCCACTACACTTGTCGTGTCTCTAGTTGCACTGCATTCTGGGTCTGTGAGGTTCTGTTAAACAGGTTTCTCCTCATTTTGAGTCTCTGTGTTACTTCTGCTGAGTTTACGATGTGAAAAACGTCGTCTATGATCCGGGGCCGGCTCAGCTCCTCAGTCATCAGCTGAGTGAGGAGGGCTGGGCTTTATCTCTACGTGACCTGGGGAGGAAAACATCTGCATCACCATGAAAGACTTTTCATAAGATGACGGTTCTTGTACGGATGTTCACTTACAGAGAGCCTCTCCTCACTGCAGGCTGCCTTCACAGCTCCCACCGGGCTGACAGTGAAGGAGCAGATGATTGAGCAACACAACACTGCCACCTGCAGGCACACGCTGCAATAACACGGCCGGCATTATCACACCATCATTTATGTCGATGCTGTCATGAAGGAAACGGGCGAAGATTTCGCGTCTCCTGCTGAGCATCATCAGCTGTGCGTCACCTCCACACCACCACCACACACTTTGGGGAACAGCCATTTTATTAATCAAATTGGAACCTTTGTGTTAGTTTCTCTTTATTCCAGTGCCACCATGGTGAACACTCATGTTAAAAATAAAAAGTGACATTTTTTTTTTTGTTAAAATGTATAATCATAATGAAGACAGTTAATCATAGAAACTAATCATAGAAACTGACATTATGACCTCACAGCATTTTGGATCAAACTCTTCTCCCTTCAGGCTAACTCAAAGAAACAGAAAGAACAGAAATGGGCCAGGGCAGACAGGAACAAAAAACAGCTTCTTACGTATATCCACATTTTTTTCTGATATTTCCCATAGACATTATAGGTTTGGTTTGAAGGGGGGATTCTGCTGGATTGTCTCACGTTCTTTTTTATTTCCCTGTAGAGGAGCATCGCTGCAATGCAGCAACAGTAAATCTACTGAGGAGAGTGAGAGCCCTGAAGACTCTACCTAGTGCACTGAGAGTAGGGGGATCTATCTGGACACACTTGAGTCGGGCTGTTGTGAAGTGCAAACCATTAGTTCTCTAAACCCTCCCTGTTCTAGCTAACATCATTTACCACCCTGGCAAACAAGCAGTGGTAAACTACACCTGAATACATGAGCTGGAGTGTGTCCGGCCCTGTAATTATACTCACAACATAGTTATTTTTCATCATTACAGTACAGTATAGAGCAATAGTTTTCATATACTTTTCATATCTTTTTTCATATTGCACCATCAGAGAATGGGACACAGAGAAAGATCAACAGAGACTCCATTTCCTAATTAAAACGAGATATGTGCAAACATGACTAAGGACTTTATTAACCAAATCAATTCTTCCCTGTAATATCCACAAATAAAAGTGATTTCTCTTTTATATATATATTTATAGTAATAAGAATAATAAATCTTCACATTGGATCATTTCATAGTGTGACAAAATGCTCGACTGGGCTGTCCAGCCACCATCGTAATCCTCATTGTCTTTAATTGGTCAGTCCCCATGCATCCATAGGAAATAGATTTTTTTTTTTTCTTCAAAAAAAGTAACAATTTGAGAGCAGCTGAAAAGTTTGGACTGGTGTCAATTGCTTTCATTCCAAGATTTCTCCCAAGTTTCATTCAGTGTTTTTGAGAAGGATATTCCATAGGAAAAAAATGACTCCAAATCGTCATCTTCCACTCCAGAAATTAAAAAAGATGTCCGGGTTCTTATGAAAACATTGTAGCAATGGTGATAATAGATCATTTGGTAATCAATAATTAATGATCATTAATAGCTGACAACTAACAATTAATAATTACTGATTAATTATAAAGAATTAACAAGAATAAATAATGCTCCCTCGTTACTCAATTAGTTTGGCAAAGCTCCGGCTGGAGTCGTTTCTGATGAGTGAATTTTTTTCTCAAGTGAAACAAACAAATAAACAAACAAAAAAAAGAAATACAAACAAGAGGTAAAAGAAAGCTCTAAAATAAATAAAAGGAGATTAGTAAAAGTGACCCCGTCCTTGGAGGGAGGGGACGTATATACAGAACTGCGTGGTGAAAGTCAGTTTACTGCACTTGAGTGTTAAGTCCAGTGTTAGAGTGAGTTCTAGTCCCGCCCTAGGTGCCCCTGCTGTTATACCAGCGTGTAGGACTTTGCGTAGGGGTTGCTGCTCTGTTTGAGATGTCCTCTCGAGTCCAGCAGGGACTCCTGGGAGGTGCTGAGCTTGGCGGCCTGGGCCAGCTCGGAGCCCTCTCTGTGGGGGAGTGTGGCTGCAGAGCCGGGCTGCCACTGGGCCACTGGGTCCCTGCTGGCCTGAGGGGCCTCTGTGGGCGTTGGAGGCGCCATGCGAGAGGGCCGCTTAAGAGAGCGACTCTTCTGGGGCTCCAGACAGGCCTGACCCATGGCCGCCCTCTCCCCACTTGCTGTCCCCCTGGACGACCCCGAGCAGGACATGCCTCGGTTCAACAGGAAGTCCATGCGCAGGTACGGAGGAAGGTGAACCAACTCGCCCCCTGCAGGACGACACAGAGCAGTTAGTGGAAAAAGAAAAGACAAGCTGACACTGAGCAACATGGCCGGGGCCCTGGGCTTCACATCAGGCTGAACCAGGTTCACTTCATCCTGTTTGTTCTCACTCAGCTGGTTAGTTTGCTCATTTTCTCTGTGTGCAGTTTAAAGATGGACTTGTTGATCTGGAAAAACGTGTTGTTCTACTTTAAAATGAGGAAAGTCCTGGCGTGCACCAGACGAGTCACTTCATGAACATTATGCTGTTTTTTGATTTGCTCAGGGGGTCATGTGTTCTCTCTGTGACCAGATATGATCGGTGAGACTGAGTGGTTCTGGTTCTGGACACACAATCAGAAGCCTTCAAAGAAAAGGAGAGTTTTCTATCCCATTATCTATAAAGCACATTTCAACTCAACAGAAACACTTTCCATTAGAATAATAAGACTGTTAAAGTTCAGAACATTTCTTATTTTTATATAATCAACACATTTCAGTTCGTTGTCGTTCGTCACTGATTTAGTTTTACGTCTTAAAATCTCCAGTAAATATAAAGTTAATGTCAGCGGTAATCTTTCAGACTTTCAGTTGGCCATAAATCTAATCTAATAAACCAGAACCTGTTCATCAGAATCAACAGCTGTGTGAGTAATTGTTCATTTTAATAATAAACTGTGATCATTAACAGTCTGCTTGTTTCCATCTAAAAGCCAGATTACAGGATGCACAGGAACTCTATGAGCATCACCAACGCTGCTCCTGTTGGTCCAGTTTCACCTTTTTACTCCCTTTGCAGGTGATAGAAGCTTCTGTCAGTCACCAGTTCACTGACTCTGATCACACTGGCTCCTTGCTCACATCATCTGATTAAAAGCTGAATTCTACCATCAGCAGCACTGCTGGTGACAGGAGGCTTCAAGTTTTACACACGTGATGCATATTAACCATAAGAAGACTAAAGAATAGCCAGATGTGCTACTACAGCTCCTGAGGTGCTGTTGGGTTCTACAGAACAGCTCAGGGCGTTTACAGTTGTTAGTGTCTCTGTGTGAAGGATGCAGCTGTGGCAGTAGAGACAGGAAACACAATCTACTCATTCAGTGTTATAGGTTGGAGTCAGTGTTGGTGATTTAATTATCCCTGGTTCCCTCTGACAGGCTTCAGTCGAACTTCTGACAGAAGCATCAACCTGAATGAGGTCCAGTTAGTGTTAATACTCGGTGTCAGTATGAGCCTGGCGGGTAAAGTTTAGTAACAATCAGCTGTAACGAGCCGTCGGCTTTCAGGCGGACAGATCTGTGGTCTCTGGACAGCGTGGCCTCACCCGGTCTGTGGGCCTTGGGCACGGCCATGTTCATGACCCGGCTGACGTCCTGAGGCTTAGGCGGGGAAGCAGTGAAGCGGCAGATGCCCGATTCGGACGGTGTGCTGGAGGTCAGGCTGTCGGTGTAGTCGTTGGTGCCCGCTGTCATCTGCTCTGAGGAAGTGTCAGAGATGAAGCATTCGGTGATGGTGAATTTGGCGTGGCGCAACTGCTCCTCCATCTTGGCGTGCTCGTAGGCTCTGGCGAGCTCCTCGTAGGTGGAGGAGGCGCTCTCTGTTGACACCATGCTGCTCCGTGCACGGTCTGGACATGTTCGGAGTTAGTGGAGGGATTAGTGTCAAGAGTTAGTGGAAGAATTAATGGATGACTAGCTGTTAGAAACACAGTGTGAGGAGCTGCTCAGCGTTGTGTTGCGTACCTGTGTCCTGAGATGGGCTGACGCTGTAGCTGTCGCTCTCCTTGTCAACAGAGCCGGCCACTCTGGGCGTGGGCAGCCTCCAGTCGGTGCTGAGTGTGTGGGAGGAGACGGGAGGGTGGGGGCGGTTCAGGGTCCACTGGCTGGCGTAGCGGTTGCGAGCAGCCGGGCCGGCTTTGGCTGTGCGGCGGGCGGTCGGGTCTGAGAAAGAGTGGGAGAATGCAGAGCGTTCATGTAGGTCATAGAGGGGAGCGGACTGAATGAAATGATCCTGATCATTGCTGCCCCTCTACAGGAACACAGACCTGCATGGTGCTGGTGGACATCAGCTCTCTCTCATAAACTATTCTGGTTTAGTTTTTGTCACTTGTCAACCTAAATCAAATAAAATCTTCCCTCCTTCCAGACACCCTGCTGCCAGCTTGTCCATGTTCGGGGCTTCATGTTCGGCCGGCAGCCCTTCTTGTGTCGGGTCGTACATTTGTTTAACGATGACGTCTCTAATCAGCATACTGAATCTTTGCCATTTTTCATTGCTTTATTATCAGTCTAAGCTTAGATGGGGTGGACGTTTCACCCTGGTAACCCAGAAAATGGAGAAGCACACAGTTTGGTGCCTGAACCTCATCAAGCCTCCAACAAGTCATCACTGTGAAGGTGTCAGTCGCATGTTTTCCTAACGTGTGAACTCAAACCCTTCAAATGCAGTTTTGGTGCCTGAGCCTGGCTGAACAGTGACGGACCACAGCAGCAGGTGGAAGTGATGGAGGTCTTTCCTACTGTGTCACAGGTGAGTAAGAATTTACTTGTCTGTCAAAATATGAATGAGAATGCAGTTTAGTTGTATAAGAAGGTCATTTTGGGGAGACAGGGCTGACAACAGGCCTCCAGAAGCACCTGGTTGAACTCAGCGAGTGGAGGAGCTTCAGTAACCTCCCTCCTCAGGACGGCACCGAGAAATGCAACGATAGGATCATGTTAGCAGCAGTGTGTGGATGTGAGTGAGAGGAGTGAGTCTGTTCAGCTGAAATGTCTGAACTGATTCACAGGCTTCACTTTATTCTACACGATTTCCAAAACATGCAGTAAACAGCAGAGAAAAACAAAAAGAACATGAAACAACAGAGTGACAAACTGCTGGAAAACTAAACCACATGCAGACATCTTATGTGTTATGAAGTTAAAAAAAGAGTCCGTACTGGACTTACTGGTTCCTGGTCTGGCGTCAGACACATCCACCAGTGGGCCGGTGGCCTGGGAGAGCGACTGGTAGTGGACAGTGTGGGTGACTGTGGATGACTTCTGTTTCTGCGTCTCCCCGAAGTCATTGTCAGTCAGTAACACAGTGGACCTGTCGTCTGTGGGACGACAAGAAAACGAGATGAGCTCTGGATCAGCATCAGGTTCAGCAGCATCCTGCAGCGTCCAGCAGCAGAACAACGCTTACCAACAGTCTCCATGGTGTCTCGCTCCTCGATGAGAAGCTGAGCTCGGGGGATGTCGATGTGCATGCGGAGCGTCTGCTGCTGTTTGTTAATCGGCTCTGCTGGACGCGTGTTTTTACTGACAAACAGAAAACAAAAGAGAACCTCGTCATGGGGAAGTCTTGTCATCATTAATGGCGCTGGCAGCGAGCAGGTAGCTGATAGCGGCGTAGGGACGATGTCCAACACTTACCTCATGAGCATCTCAGCTAAGCTTTTTGCATCTGGAAAACAAAACCATGAGTTTATTTGTGAGAATAGAAGCAAACGTAGATTCACATGTGAGAAGGCCGACAGACTGCTCGTCTCACCTCGGAGCCTCTTCAGCCTCTGCTCCCTCCTCCTCCTCCTCAGCACCAGCAGCCCGATGAAGATCACCACGATGCCAACCAACACACAGGAAATGGTCACCATCATCTTCAGACCTTCGCCGCCTCCAGAGTTGTCCTCACTCACGTTGGGTGCCTTCACCAACGGGGCGATGGTACCTGTGACGAGGTCATGTGACCGTGTTAGGACAGATGCTGATTCTGAACCTACTTTTAGACACAAAGCCACAAAACCTTCTCTCCCTGAATGATGGCCACTGACTGACAGTTGTCATGTTGTGTAAAAGTCAAGACCATCAGCAGCTCCGAGCTCAAGGGTTTAATTTTTCCTTCCAAGCTGCTGTCCTCTGTCAGGACTCGCTCTTGACCTTTTGCCGAATTGCCAGTAATACCTGGTTCCCATTTGGCCAAGCTGTACGTCAATGTGAATGAACTCATCCTTCACAGCTAAATGTTCAGCCTGACTCTCATTTAAACAGCTGCAGGATGTACGTGGAGGAGGAAACTAAGTGGTGGGTCTTTAGAAGTGGTTGTGGCAGAATACCGCCCAACGTGTAATATGAGCTGCTAGCATCCTTCATCCCAAAGGAGACTGTGAAATCAGTTCTCCTGTGTTGGCATGTGGTCTGCTAGTGAAGCAGCACAACCCAAACCAGCTACAGCACCAGGACTTGGAATGCAACATGTTTTTTTTATTGCCCATTTCATCAGTGGATCCTGGACCTCTGTGAGCCACATGCTCTGCTTTTACCAGAGAGCACGATTTACTCCTTTCTGCCTCAAACTACTACCGCCAGCCAACTCTGTATGCTACAGTTGGTGAAGTTGGGTCTTTTGTCACAGACTCCTGCTTGTTGAGCGGTCCAAGTGCCGGCGTTTATATCAGCTCTGGAGTAGCCGGTGAGTCACCCGGCCAGCTTCAGTGCCTCTGCTGCCTGTAAAGAAAGAGTGGTGCTGTGTGAACTCACTGCCATCGTAGCTGAGCGTTGCAAACTTGACTCTCTTCTCAGCGTAGCCGGCGCTGTTGTAGACCTTCATCTGCAGCTCGTACCAGGTGGCCTCCTGCAGGTCGTACAGGATGTAGCTCTTGGTGAGGGAGGTGCGCTGTGCCGTCGTCCACGTGGGCGAGTCTACGGGTCGGTACTCCAGCGTGAACGAGGTGATCGGACATCCGCCGTTGTTCCAGCCGTTCAGATTGAGCTTGACCCGAGTGGCGTTGATGCTCGTGAAGAGCTCCTGTTCTTTAGAATACTGAGGTTCTGGTTGGCACAGTGAGAAGGAAGACATTTATGTGATCACTGAAGCACAGAAACAGTCACTGAGGAGCAAAACACAACAAGCCAACACCTACATACAGAACATATCCGCTTACAAAGGGCTGAGAAAGATCTGTTTGAAGCTGAGAGGAAGGTAGGTCTACAAAGCTGCAGAATAAAAGAATCAGTTGAGCGATTTCTGAGATGGAAAACGTTTTAACATTTTGCTTTGAGGCCCTCCAACACTCTGCATGTTTGGTATTAACTGAATAATCAACGGCATCATCAGTTAAGGAACATGTTTTGTCATGTTTAGAAACGTTTTCTATTCTTTCTCTGTCATATATCAAGCAACTACGAGATGATGCAGGATTTTTAACATCACTTCCTTTTCCAAGAAGAACATAAAATGTATTTTAATATACATTTAAAATAAACACATCATCTGGAAATTGCTAATCACTGCTATCAAATCCTATATTGTGACAGTTGGCCAGCATTAGTCATTATATAGAACTATTTAAACAGTCCCCTGAGTCAGCTGGGATAGGCTCCGCCCCCTAGTGAGGATGAAGGTGTAGAGATGATGATGGATGTGCGAAGCTGACTTTTGAATGTGCTTCTCAGAAAGATGATATTCATGACAGTGCAGTGGTATCTATTAAAAATAATAATTCATAATGCTATCATACTATCATGTGACTCTCCAAAGAAAGCCCTGTTCATACCTTTCCCATGAGTCTTTGCTTCAATGATCTCGCTGATGCGTCCAGGACCCACTGCATTCTGGGCGGTGAGGGTGAACTTGTACCAGGTGCCACACTTGAGGTTCTCCAGCCGGTAAGAGCGCTCACTGGGACTGATGGCAAAATTACCCCACTGCTCACTGTTGTCCTCAGAGTACTGCAGAATGTAGCCTGGAGGCACAGGTGGAGGTGAAACAGCTGATCACATTCAGATAATTAAAGAAACAACCACTAAGAAAAGACCTTGTGGTGTTTGTCTGACCTCTGATGGAGCTGCCGCCGTTGTCTCCTGGGATCCAGGAGAGGGTGATGGAGGTGGTGGTCGTCTTGGTCACGGTGAGGCGAGGCTGGTCAGGTGGAACTGCAGGAAAGGAAACAAACAAATGACGTAAACAAACAAGATTCAGTTCAGAAAAAATCACCTAGAAGTGAAAACACTGTTTGCGTTGTGATCAGATGTGATTCAGTGTGGTTCTTACCTTGGACTTGCAGGTTGAGGACGATCTTGTCTGACCCAAAGCTGTTGCTGGCCACACAAGTGTAGTTCCCAGAATCCTCTGCTTTCACGGTGCGGATGACGAGGCTGCCGTTACCGTGGACGCTGCGTCGGCTGTCGATCACAACAGGTGCTGGGGTTCCATTGCTGAAACACAGATGTGTTAGCAGTTAGCTTTCTGCTTTCATGACCACACAAATACTTCTAGATGATTTATCTGCTGTGTTGATGTTCTCCACTCACATCTCCTTCAGCCACTTGATGGTTGGGGAGGGGTCGCCCACCGCCTTACAAGGCAGCACAATGTCCCTCATCCAGGGGGTTGTTACGGTGCGGTTGAAGGTCAGGATCCGAGCCGGAGCTGCAAAAGTAGGTACATGCTTCCTCAGCCCACAGTGGAGATGTTTAAATAAACCTGCTGCTGTGTTCTGATGGAGAACTTATTTAGCATAAATCACTGATGACTCAGAGCTAGGAGCAGCTTCTCCTGCTGTCTGCTCTGTGACCCTCCAGCTCACCGAGTCAGGCTCAGTGACGGTGTTTCTCTCTATCTGAACAGTGAAACAGGAAGGAGAAGACATCCATCACCTGGATCTCAGGCAGGATGTGAATGTCCTGATAGGAGCTGTGGGTCCTGACTCCGGACACCAGGGGGTTTATCAGCGTATGCAATCAGCTTATCAGCGCTCACCAAGCATGTGCCGTGTTGACAGGGCCAAGCGCTGCTTATTTACATTCAGCTGATGCTCTCCTTCTTATCCTTCTATGAGGAGCCACTGGGAATGCGCTATGTTGACCCGTCCACATGGGTTCCCAACAACAGATCCTGTTAGAGTTTAACTTGCAGTAGCCTGAGATGTGACTTCTTGGTAAAGCCGTCCTCTGATTAGTGGACTGGCCTACTGAGCAAATGTGCAGCGTCCCATTCGGCACCAAATACAAATGTGAACCACCAAGCAGCTCCACCTACCCTCAGCCATGGGTTTGACAGTGATGATCTCGCTGGCGTTTCCACGACCTGCTGCTGTGACAGCCACCACCCAGATGCTGTACTGCCGGTTCCTGCTCAGGTTGGGGATCCGGTAGAAGAACACGTCCGGCGCCGCCTCAAACTCACTGCTCACCTGGAGGAAGACATTCAGGACTGGATTAACTTACTGCAGATCAAACTATATTTTCCTTCTTGATTTGATGGTGAAAGATATTTGTACTGATCGTCTGCGCTTTTCTGAGCGACAACAAACTCCATGAACAGCTCAAACCAGTGATGAATAAATGCTGAGCTCTCTGTTTGTGCCACTGAGCTCCAAAAACACACATCAGTCAGTTTTAGCTGTTCCTGTCAGAAACCCAAAGCCCAGGTTTGAAAGGCTTTTTAAAAAAAATCCCCCAAATCTATGCAGTGTATCTGAGCCAGAAACTGTAGAAACAGAAAGACTTTGAACTACTCGTGTAACGTCATCAGGAAAATTAAATAAATCTGATCTTTGAATCATCATGATCCACATGAGGAGCTTCTTCAGCAGACGGTTCTCCTAACCAGAGAGGACCCGGGTCCAGCAGCAGACTGTCACTAAACACATTCCAGGTTCTCTCTACCTCTAGTCCCAGCCTGCCTGGATGTGGACAACGTTAGATTACGGTGAGCAAAAAAATAAAGGCCAGAAACTGCTTAGAGGGTTAACTTAGGTCAAAGCCACATGCTCCGTCCTGGTTCTGTTCAGAGAGTTTAAAGGGTTTAGAAGCAACGAGGGCAGTCAGAGGACTTCAGGCTGAACCATAATACAAGCTCCTCATCTGGTCTGTCGCTCTTTTAATCACTGTTGATGTAAAACAATATCGATTGTGTTAAGTTTGATAAAAACGACTGTTCAATGATTATTTCCTTTTGAATTTATCACATTCAAACTGTAGTGAAAAGGTTATTTAAAATTCAGTTCAATTCAAAAAGCTTTATTGGTCCCCTGGGGACAATTTAAGAAACAATAATCAATAAAGAATAAAACATAACAGTAATGATCACAGCAGCTGATGTAAACAGCTACGGCAGACTGTGTGGTGTGGTTCTATCCGTGGTTCTGTACCGTGGGGTGTGGGTTGGAGCAGAAGACGGTGTATTTCCTGATGATGCCGTTCACTTTGAGGGGAGGAAGCCAGGATACAAACACCACTGAATTGGATGCAGCTGCTGCCTTCACGCCCGCTGGAGGACCAGGAACTGAAAGAACAAGATGATCCCGTTGATATATTTCACGCATTAAGCTAATATTATTACTCAGAAGATTTTTATGGCTCTTCTTATGCTGATTATACAGCAAGATAACAGATGGCCACATGACATGTTCTGCTGCGTGGAGAGTTACAGCTCTCCTCCTAATGAGCATATTTATGATCCTGCCTCATTTTCACCACAGTCAAATATTCAGGCTGTACAAAAATGATCTTTAACGTAAAGAGGAGGGATACTGTCCTTTACAGCAGCGAGCCAAACTCACACTTCAGCCGAAGTCTGAGCGCAGCTATAAAACAGAAGCTCGCCTCCACAAGCGCAGCCTGACAGCTGTCCTTGTGTCTTTTAATTTGGAGAGGTGACTTAATCTCCCTACCGTCCTCCTTGGTACGGGTGTAAATCTGTTCACTGCGGACTCCGTCTCCAGCTCTAGTGAAGGCCAGCACCTGGATGCTGTAGTTGGTGTACTTCTCCAGTCCGTCCAGCTCCAGAGAGGGCTTAGAGGTCGTCACGTTTCTGATCTCTCCCAGCTCTGGAAGACAGAAGAGGAGAGAGTGAGTGAATAAAGTCAGATGTCAGCTCAGCTCAGGAGCCTCGTTCATAGCAGTCCTCTGCTGTAAATAATCCAGTGATAAGACGGCCATCACTGGTCAGAACATGTCCCTCACACATCACACAGTGGATCACAAGTAAACCAGTAAATGTCAGGCCCAAGGGTGTCATAGCACAGCCCTGGATATGATTTCATGTTCAGTCACAAAGCTTAAACAATCCTGTGTCCAAGGTCTGCTGTGGTGGCAGCCCGGACCGGCAGCCTGCTGCCCTCAGCTGTTAGCTTCTGAATTATGGATGCTGGCTGTGGCACTGCTCTCCGTCTGCACGCCTTCCTCACAAGCTTTGCTCGATATCTACAGCACGACATCAGCTGCATAAATGCAGGGAATACCCACGACACCTGCACAGCTGTAGACATTTGATCGTACAGTTTACAGGGATGTGAGCATCAGCTAGTGTCTGGACATCCACTTACACCACAAGTCCACGTAATCCTGGTGACAAAATGCATTCTGCAGCTTTAACTACATATTTTCTAGAATTGTTTTTGCTGGCTGATTAATTGTTTGAGAGACACGTGAGTAAAAAGCCCAACATGTGGATGCTGTGATGATTTGCTGTATTTCTTTCTTTCTTTGATTTGTATATCAGACAGTTTGTCCTTTTTGATCATTGGTCAGACAAAGCAAGCTGAATATATCTGAACATTTAAATATCTAGAAAACAGCTGGCAGATTCATTGATGGTTAAAAATCGTGCCCTTTTTCTTTACTCACATTTAAACCACTTATGTGAATGCATGTAGTACGTAGGCATTAATTAGTGTAACCTGAACTGTTAGAGACGCACACCAACAGCTGAGCTGCCCCCATCCTGTATGGAGGGGTTTGTGTCTCCCTCTGCTGGTAGGTGAGGTTACATCCTGCCATTCTGATGTCTGCTGGGGCAGCGTGCTCTGACAGATGAACAGCTTCGTTGCAAAGGAACAAAGCATATGTGAAGTGTTGGGCTGTGCATGTCTCATCTTTACATACAACATAAAGCATTTTCCAAACAACAACATTTATCTTCCGTTCAGCCACTGATCTGCTCACTGTTGCCGTGCAAACTGGGCCTGGCTGTCAAGTCCTAAGCATTCCTGTTGACTGGGCAGGCCAACATGATGTGACAGTGCAGGGGGCAAAGGTAATCACGCTGTCACAACCCATCGCGCTGACACAAACCCGGCATGTGACAACGCCATGCCGCGCTGTCTGACGTCCACGGGACCGTGCAGTCTGTTGGCCACACAGATGCTCAAAATCTGCCCCGGTTACTACGGTGCCCACAAAAACGTCCTCATTAACAGCAAACAGCTGATGAATGAATGGCAGCATGTCGACACACATCCAGAACAGACAGAGCTGATGTAAATCAGACGAGCTGCTCGGTCTCGTCCACTCCTGCTGGTTCACTGAATCTCACAAAATATTCACTTTTTTAAAAAATGATCTTTTGAAAATCTGCTATGTTTGTCTGTGTAGGTTGTGCTATATGTGTTCCATCTGAGTGAATCTATGTGATGCATTAAATTGAATAAGATATTGCATCATGCTTTTTTCTCTCTAGTCGGACTCTTTCCACGTGCTCACGGCGCCCTCTTGGTGGACCAATCACACGGCGTAGACCATCGTAGGTACCTGGGTGCTGGATGTGTTTGTGATGAATAACGACGGCTGATGAAGATCGAACATTGTTCTGCTAAACCAGATTTACAGAACTTTATTAGAACAGATGTTTGAGCTGCAATGATGGAGACGTGGTTCAAATCGTGTATTTAATTCAAATCAAACAGCTTCTAATTACACCCTCTATCTGCTCTTCTAACACGTGTACTCATGTGAACGTACCTCCATCGGGCAGGTTGGCCCAGTAGATGACTCTGAAGCCCAGCAGGTTGCCGTTCAGAGCGTCTTTGGGAGGGGTCAGCCAGGACAGAGAGATGACCTCTGGAGATGTGGCTGTGGCCTGAACGTTCTCTGGAGGACGACTGGGCACTGAGGGGACAGAACAGTAGACACCTCTGAGAACAGCTGACTCTGAGAGGACACAAAACGCAGTACCCTCTGATCGCCACTAGGTTGTGATACATCCTCACAGATGAATGTTAAAGCGCGCTGTCTGGAGATGTTCATGTTGGGGACAATCCAAATGTGATAGTAAATAAACAATAAAGAAATCATTTATATGTCTGAACATGCATTCAGTTTGTTGTCACAACCACTTCCTTAAGCTGAGCAGGACACTGAGCCTGGGGTGTCTCCTTACCGTCCTCCAGCGTGGTAGCAGCCACCTCTGTGGAGGACGGCCCTGTCCCTGCGCTGTTGCTGGCTTGCACCACCACTCCATACTGGGTGAACTTCTTCAGGTTGTCCAGCACCAGGCTTTCTGCATTGTCCCCTGTGGTCTCCACGCTGATCACACTGAACTGGTAGTTCCCACCAGAGCTGTACTCCCTGTAGCCCACCTGGTAGCCTCTGATGGCCCCGTTCTGGAGGTGCTTTTTGGGCGCCTGGCGAAGGAATGACACAACAGGGATGAGTGCTTTTCTTTGACTCGCTGCTCGTATCTACTTCAGACCTGACTGAGGAGGGAATGCTAGAGATGACTCCAATGATCTGTCAGCCACACTTGCAGGAAAGTGATGGTGTCTGAGCTCTCCTCCTGGGTTTTTGTCCCCACAGGACCTTTGAAGTCCACATACACAGGTGAAGCATTCCACACCCAAAATAGATGTATTCAGATCGGCTGATATGGCCGAGACACGGGGGTGTGCCAGGACGCATGGCATCACCTCGAGAGTGTCGTCTTCTTAGTAAAGCACTCTGTGAAGAACATTTCAATCCCACAAACTGCTTGTTTTCCTCAATAACACTGGAATGACCAAAGCTGGCAGCCAAACGAAGGCCCTACGCAGAGCAGCCGTCACAATCCATTTCTATAGAGAAGATCGTCCTCTCTGAAGCACACGAGTTGTTTAAATGGTGCTCTGTGTGAAATGAAGAGCTGGACGTGCTGCAGACAGTCTGACTGGTTTAAACAGTAGCGTAGCATTCATACGATCAGACAGAGAGAAGAAGACTAAACACTGGGCTACAAACACCTACATGGTTCTTTTAACACTTTTTTTTAATTCAGGGACCGCACACTGAGAAAACATGCTGTTTCCCTGCAAAGTCCTGCTTCACATTCATTAAGGAACACCTGAGAGCTGACCAGTACACCTTCACTCCTGAGCGTCTCCACAGGAGCTGCAGCAGGTTAAATGTTTCGCTCAACGATGTCAAGGAGAGAACAGAACTGACTGACTGTGGAAACGTGAAGCAGCAGCCAGAGCTCTGACAACCTTCACTGTACCTGAACAGAGCTACCGTACACGATACCTGCATGGTCGGCTTGACTTACCCTCCACGAGACCCTGATGCTCTGAGAGGAGAGGGCTTCCAGCTGCACGTCCTGAGGTGGTCCGTCAGGAGCTGAGATCACATCATCAACATTTTACAAAACTGTCCACATGAAACAGCCGTCTAGAGATGAGAGCAGGAGAGGCTGCAGACACGTGTGATGTTGTGTTTATAGGTGGCTGCTGAGGGTGAGGAGAAAGGCTGTGCAGGGGCTGGCAGAGGGGCAGATGAAAGCACAGGGGGTAATCTGCAAAAGGGGTCCAGCCTCAGTCTATTGACCGTAGTGTGACATTTACTACTGAGGCCGCTAATTGAAAAGTTCTGCTTTTAGCGCGGGGTCAGCGTGTGTTCAATAATGCAACGGAGCCAATGAGCTGATGTCACCGGGCGCTAATGAACTGACTCAGTCGGCCCTTCGCCTCCTTTCGCCTCTCGTCTCTCATTCACCGCTGACTGCCGTCTTTCTCACTGCGTTGTTGTAACTCAGATGTGTTGGGACTTATGAATAAATGAGATCTACTCTCATCACTGCAGCTGGTCATTATTTATGTGCTGGGAATAAGATGAGTAGATGTACAGAAAACAGCTCAGCCTGCACTCATGCTTTTGGGCACAAAGAAGAAGTTTCCTTCTCACCTGCTTCATCAGTGGTGATGGTCAGCTCGTTGCTGGCCTCGCTCTTGCCGATCAGGTTCTTGGCGAACATGCGGATGTTGTAGGTGGAGGAGGGGTGCAGGTCGATGATGGTGGCCTGGTTGAGCTGAGGTGAGACATCTTTGGTCTTCTGAGCAGTATCCCAGGAGGCTGAGAGGGGAAAGGCCAAGGTTTATTAGGGTCACCATAGGACACATCCAGCTAAGTGCATGAGAACAGACTGTGTTCAATTAGAGAGCTGAGACTAAGTGACAGCAGAGATAATTCACATCCCAGAGTGCATGATTCTCTAGAACCTGCCCTCCATTGTGTGTTCAGGGTGGTAAACTACAACAACACCATGTAAGTATAGACCTAAATAAGACTTCTTGTACCTGATTTGTTCTTGCTCTCAATATCAAAGCCTGTGATCGGGCTGTTGCCATCAAAACCCATCGTCCAACGCAGCGCAATGGTTCTGTCCTTCACTTCTCTGATCTCCACTTCTGGGGGGTCCGGGGGCTCTGCAAGGCACCAAGTTGGCCAGTGCATTATTATTGAAGCCTTGCAGAACTTAGGATGTGAAGGATATTGCCACGATCAATAATCAGTATCAGGATTGAAAGTATTGGTCCTCATTTCATGGCAGCTATACCTTGAACTGTGAGTTGTATGATCCCTCTGTCTTCACCAAAAGAGTTGATGGCGTGGCAGGAGAAGAAGCCAGAGTCCTCCCTCACTGTGGGCATGATCTGGTGGAGGCACAGGGATGAGATGATGCTAGTTAGATTTCACTGTGACTGCCCGTCTGGTCGTGTTGGCAGGGCGGGAAGCGTTTTTTTGGCGTGTGCAGGTCAAAGCAACGTGAGCCGGACAAACGAGGCTCCTGCTTTACAGGAAGGATTTTTAGAGGCACGACAAAATGGAAGCATTTAGCGTTTCTGAAAAGACAGAAAAGCTAAACAGGATTCTTTATATACACTCTGTGCTCATGGGACTCGGAGGAATTTTGCATGTGCTGTGGCATCTATGGAGCAATCAGCAGTCTGAAACACTTGCTAGCGGGGCCTCCTACCTGCAGGGTGGAGATGACTTCATCGCCCACCTCCTTGACAGAAACCACATAGCGGCTGGTCTCGGGGTTGATGATGCGTTCCTCCTTCTCCCAGCGCACCATGATGGGTTTCTCACCGTGGGCTGTGCAGCTCATCTTCTTCTCCTCTCCCTGCGTGGCTAACGTGGTGTTGGGGTACGATGTGATCATGGCAGGGACTGGTGAGGAGGGAAGGACAGCATTTGTTAGGATGATGTTGGTACGTAATAGGAGCTGAATGATCACCAGCAGAAGACCAGGCAGCCTCTGATTAAGACTAGTTGCTAACATGTTTACACACACTGAATTATTAAATGTTATTGTCCACATTACAAACACTACCACCAACAAACAAGGTAACGATGACATCATGGTTCATAAATGAGGTCATTAGTCTGGTTCTGTTGTATTTTATTGACCTTTCTGGAATCTCTTGCCGACACGTTGGTGCTGTGTGAAAAATTTACAATAATACAGATTGTGTTTACAATATGAGTCATGATTTTGGAGGAAATGGAAATTTTTGCATTTCTTCATAACTAAAAAATTCTCAAAACAGTCGTGTGAATGTTATGGGTGGAGATGTGCTCTGTAGGGCGGAGCATCTCCTCCACCTGCCAGATGTTAGGATGTCTCCATATTCATCCCTAGTTTAAGCTCCGCCTCAGCTCGCTGAACATCATCGCTGGTTTTAATCACAGCTCTTTCAAGCTTCCTGTTATTCCGTGAGCTTAATGGCAACACAACGTAAAAGCAGCTGACAGAGGACAGCCGACGTGTTGTGTACGATGCTAATGCACTGGAACCACACATAAAGCCTCCTTTAATGTTGTGATAAAACCAACATGCGGCCCTGGTGTGTATCTCGTATCAGAGGGTCCCAAATGGTGCAGCGCTGCTCCAACAACACTCTGAAGACGCCACACTAAACGCACACTAACGACATACATGGCTCATTACACCCACAGCAGAGTGTATAACAACCCTCTACTCCCAGACGCTCACACACTCCAACCCACACACACACACAAAGCGTGACTTCGCTGATATGATGGGAAGTGTCAGGCAAGAGGTTGCAAACATTTAAGCCTCATCTCTTATTCACTCTGTAGCCATTTGGGGCTCGGCTGTGGAAAAGAACCATGATTTATTTTGCATGACAAGTATGAATTTTTTGTGAGACCCATTTGAAAAAGTGAGAGGAAAGAAATAAGTGCCTGGGCTTTATGTAAACGTTATCATTTGAGAGCACAGCGACTTTCATTTTGCCGTGTAAGTGGCTCAGAGGTGGCTCAGCGTGCTGTTGTTGACACTCCTGATGCTGCGCCAGGCGACAACATGCAGGGACGGGAGGCGCCGGGAGCCAATCACACGTCTGTATGTAAACTTTAAAGGCTTTGCAGCATTTGGAGGTGATGTACATTAAAGCCACAGTGACACTTAAATAGCTGCGATTTGTTTTATGCACATAGTATTGATGACAGGGTGACTGATGATACACTGACACAGTGGTCTGATGCTGGCTTAGATGTAGAGTAATGGCCTCGACTGATACTTCAGAAATTCTACATTAACAAAGATTTTACCAGCAATGCTAGTAGTGATGGACAATATCTGTGTAAAGAAGTGAAAACAAATGGTCAGTATGTGTTTTCAGTCAGATGTAAAAGGGACGGGAAATTGATGATTAATAAATGTGAGCTAGTCGATCTATCTTCTGATTCTGGGCATTTGATCTAAGAGCCAATCAGAGGAGCTGCTCTGGACGCACAGCTCGTAGTTGGGTGACTAGAGACAGAAAGATCTGCATTCATTTATGGATGAAATACACTTTTCTTTAGCTGTATATGAAATTGTAAATGTGATAGAACTGGTCGACTAGAAGGAAAGAAGAATAGCTCATCCCATGGATTTGAAGCCAAGCTGATGCGTATATAAGACAAATTAGGGACCTGTTCCAACCACTAGTTATTTAAAATGACTGATTAAACCATTCAACGATCTGTCTCTCCTTTATTGGACGAGATATTAATTTCATGTTGCATCATTAATTTATTTTCCTCAGCCAGTTACACACATTGGTGCACAGAGAATCATTTTGCAGGCAGCAGTTCAAACGTGGCCGACATCAAACTGCATATATCCTCTAACTAATGTCGACCAAGGCACAATCACAAAAGCAAACAGATCCCTAACAATGGGAGTGTCTATGTGAGATAAGGAAGGCTGTGAGACGAGGCGCATGCAATTTGTGTGTCTATGTAAATGTGCACAAGAGTGTGTGTGTGTGTGTGTGTGTGTGTGTGTGTGAGTGTGAGGAGCCCAGCTGAGCCAGCCCTCAGGCGCACTTCGCGGTCCTGTAATTGTTGTGTTGATGTATTTCTTTAATATCCAGCAGAATTATAGGAGGAGTGAAAAAAGAGGAAAAGCAGCGAGGTGAGATGGTGGCGAGGGAGTCCCCAGCCTCAGCCAGCATCAGCTCCCCCGGTGTCGAACTCAGTCCTACACACTCCATGAGGGATCACACACACACACACACACACACACACACACAAAGGCTTTCATTCACATCTCATTGTTGTGGTTTTCAGTTCCTGTGTTCATTGCATTTGTATATTTGTGGATCTCACTGCTTTCTTGATACGAGGCTTTATATGTAGATTTCTACACATGCCAACGTCTGCAAAAGACTGAATGCAAGTACGTGTAATAGGAGGCAGTAGCATGCTGACACCGAGCAGGGAGACCTGGCTACACATGCAGCCATGGCGCCTGCACTGGCCTCCTTCAGGAGCCGGTGAGACGTGTTGCTGAGGAAAACATCTGCATTGGAGCTTGTGGAAGGCTGCAGGAGAAACAGTGTGTTTACTGCGCAGCACCAAGTGTGCTTGATGTGGAGGTGAGGAGAGCCCTGTTCCTCCACAGCAACCCAGAGGGCAGTGATGATACACGTAAGCCTGCAGGGGATTGTGGGGGATAGGCTGGCTGCTGATAGGCTACTCCCCTGAGACAAAAGCCCCCCCCCCCAACTCCCTCCCTCCCTCCCTCCCTCCTTCTAGCAGGCTCCCTTTCACCTGGCCAGGTTACCATGCCAACCAGCATCGGACAGTCTCTCCTCTCCTCTCCCCACCTCCCCCCCTCCTCCCTCTCGTCCTTTCTCTCCCTCTCTCAGAAAAAGGCCATTTCTAGTAGCCAGGAATAGAACATGGACCTGCCATTGATTTTCACAGGAGTATGATGATGATTACACAATCACAGCCTGAATGTCGCAATGCAGGAATAAAAAACAACACAGGGAAGAAAATGTGGCTAATGTTTCTAACTGGTGGTGTTAGTGATGTGGAAAACAGAATTATCCAAATGGTGGAGTCAGGAGAATAATAATAACACATAATTACAGGTGAATGGCTACTTCAGCGTCGGCTATTCAGCTGTGATCAAAGAGCGACGGCAGCGAGAGCGTCTCCGGTTCAGCAGGATGTGAAAGGTGATGAAAAGAAATTACTTTTATTTTAGCATCATTTCAGTTGGAATAATAATTATCAGCAACAAAAACGCGAAGCACCACTTTGGAAGTCGTGCATTTTGCAAGAAGAAAATCATGTTTCCTTTATTAGAAGATCTTTGATTTGCTCGTGTCCTGAACCGGTTTTTGTTCCTATGAGGCTGTTTGTGTTGCACTTATCAGACATTACTTTGAGTCAAAACGGAATAATTGGTGTGATATCCTCTCCCTAGATTTTCTGTTGATGAGGAACAGATTTCTCTAGGGGGCGCTGTTTTCTTGATAGACTGATCGACCATGAGGACAGTCACATGTCATTTTTTCCTCTAGTTGTTAAAAATAACCCCTGCTCCTGCGAATGATGCTGAACGTGCTATCTCTGGTCTGAACACTTTGTTTGTGGAGGTTTTATCAGGCTTTTCAATATCAATGCCCGTAATTACAAGGAAAACTTTGTGTGTGTCTCCTCTCCTCCATACAAAAGAGCCTCATCGGAGTGTCGTCCACGCTGAGACCACGAGGATGCTCGTCTGCATTCTACACAGGATGCCTGGCCGGCCAGCGTGAGCCACAGGGCACCCCGGCTCGATGGGCCACGAGGGCCAGACAAGAGAGGACGAGCAGGGATGCATCCAGCTCGCTGCCCTGGGGGCGCACTGTAAGTAGGCGCTGGGGAGGAGACGGCCTGGATGAGGGCGGAGGAGGGGAAGGAAGAGCGCTGTGCTGATCGCACAAAGATGACTGGTTCACTGGCCGCCTGCAATGTACTGAAATAATTCTCTTAGCTGCACAATTGGCTTGGACATGGAGCATGATAGCACATGTACGCCTGCAGAAAGGCTGCGCTGAGACGAAACCGCATAAGTAAATAAGATGAAAGAGATGAGAAAAGCACGGGGCTTCCTCACAGTTTGTCTGAAGGATGCTGTTCTTGGGAGACTGCTCGGTAACCACAGGACCATTTAGCAGTGCTCTTCAGCAAAGCCTCATTACATGCTCTGCCCTCATCACTGTGTCTGCAGACATTATGATGTCTAACAGGCTTGATTGGTCTTAATTGGCCCTGATAAACATTGAGTGGCTGTTGACTGACTCTGATAGCATCCGCTGTGGATTGGTAATGAATTGACTGAATTACATCTGTTTTGGTGGTTGATGCTTGACTGGAAATTGCATAAAAATCCTTTGTTTGAGTCTCCACCTGCAACTAGTGTCAACACAGAACAAAAACTGATTACTACTCTTATAAGGAAGCTCGTGAAAGAAAAACAAACACACACACAGTGAATGTAGGCACATTAACACAGCTCGGTCCTGGAGCAGTGAGTCTGCTGGCTGTTAGTGCAGCGGCGGCGTTCCTACTGGATGATGCATGGTGTATTATGACGAGACATTAGCCTATGCACAGACACTCATAACAATGAAAGTGCCAAGCTAGGACATCACAATAGCTGCAATTCATTTCCCGGGGAGTCCACCACAATAGCCTGGCAGAGTGGGATCTATCTAAAGCACTGCATTAGCCGCCCGGCCCATTATTCTTTTGTAATGGCTGCACTGCGCAGCACTGTAACTGTGCCTTTACATTAAAGTGCGCAGTCCTTTGTGTGAAACGTGTGTCTTTGTGTGCACTTATGAGCTTGTTTGTTCACCTGTGTCGAGCATATGACCCAGTACCATCTTCACCACGCACGTCCCCGCGCTATAGATCGCAGCGCTTCTGATTGAATCTATTGATTTCCCAGTGTTTGTTTACTGATACATCAAGCCACATTTGGACAGCCAATAATACACAGCGAAGATCATACTATCCATCACGTGAGTACTTCAGCATGCGTCAGCTTGTGTGCCTCCCTAATTGGCTCCTAAGCCTCTTAAGTAGCCGCCACTGCTCAAGTGGTGTAGGCTGGCCTGAATAAACAGCATGAAAACAGCACAGAGTGTACAGAACATCACAGCCTCAGATGTTACAGCGTACCTGCAAGAAGCTTTAAGGGTTAATGAACTCATTGTCTGACACACATGCACACACATGCACACACATGCACACCGGGGAGCTAGAATGAGGTGTGGCTCCCCTGGCGTCCAGAGAGATTCAGGTTACTACAGACTGGAGGCACAAACCAGGACAGCACAGCCACCACAACAGCCAGATACAGTAGGCGCAGAGCACGGCCCTGAAGGACTGCAGCCACACTCACAAGCACAGATCAAGTCATTAAGAGCTCAGAGAGAGCTTTTCTAGCATTTCTATAGGTCTGATATTAAAAGTCTGTCCAACCAGTGAACACGTTTTGCTCAAAATGACAAAGCAGCAGCCGTCAGCGAGCGGCTGCACAGAGTTCAGCTCAGAGAAGTCCGGCCGCTTCATTGCATATCGTCAGGTCTGGATCTAACAATGATTTAATTACAGATACCTCGTTTAGTCTGACAGTCCATGAAACACTGAAATAGTTTCATTTTCTGTTCATGACTCAGAAGAATTCACTTCTCTCACAGTTTCTGCTCTAAAGTGTCTCTATGACAAAAACTTACGTTTACACTCATTTGCTCTTGTTTGTCAACAACAGATCCACAGAAATGTAATTAACTAACGAAGCAGAACGTCACTGTAGTGGCTGCAGTGTAGTCTATAGGCCAGTGGTTCTCAAACTGGGGGTCGGGACCCCCATGGGGGTCCCAAGCTCATTTCAGGGGGTCGCCAGATGATTGTATAAATAAATAAATAAATAAATAAATGAATGAATGAATGAATGAATGAATGAATGAATGAATGAAGCCTGCATCTATCAGGTAAGTGTGTATCAGGACTGTCAGCATTAAAAGTCTTTACTTCTTCCCACTCCTCTATCAGACTTGTTCATATTATGATTCGATGATGTTATTATTCTTTTTTGCTCTTTTTCAAGTTATTTTCTTTTGTTTTTAAATTCTTTTCTCTTTCATTTGCTTGAAATAAATTAAACTCATTCATTCATTTAAAAGAAATGATCGTGTTCATGTAAAGAGAAGAATCTGTGGGATTAACATTCATTTTAACGCATTAATGCACGAACAACAAAGTTATAGTAACGAGATATTAACAGTTCAAACGGCGGGTCGTGGCTCTGACTGCTGTCGGCCATCTTGTTCTGATGTTTCTGTGCACTGGCTCATAAGCTCCAGAAACACGTCGTCTGGAGAACTTTGTATGTAAATGAGCAGACAAACGGAGAGCTGGCGAGATGGAAACCTCCAGTTCAAGGCCCAGAACACGGAGAACCGAGCACCAGCATTCTGGATCGGATCTTACAAAAGAAAACACTTCAGGGATGTCGTAGAAAAGATTCTTAATTGAAACCACACTTGAACAACATGAGGGACTGAGAGCTGGTGCATCCGCGGCTCTGTGCTCGTCTGTTGGGCTGTGAGGGAGCCGGACAGGCTGGACTCAGACAGGACGGGTCATAAAGGAGTTCTGGCCCGTTTGGCTGTGGCTGGCAGACAGTGAGACACTCAGCAGGGAGTCCTCTGCTCCGGCTTGATAAGAGCCACAGGAGCCTCATCTAACAGTGGCTGATCAAAATGAGCACCCAGCCACAACAGAGCGGCCGGAGATCACACAGTCTGTTCACACAAAACCACAAACCCACAAACCTGCAGCTCCACCAGCTGAAACTCAAAAACTGTAAATTTCTGTAGAATGCAGATGTCTGTTATTAAGACAGCACTTGCTCTTAAAAACATTTTCACTACAGACTGCCTTCAGCGTCTCTGTCTTTGGTGGATAAATCATGCATTACTTTCATGCTTTATTAAATGCTCTTTCAGCCTGAAGAGGGCAGTGTTCTTATTAGAAAGTGTCACATCAATACAAAAACACAGTGTAGTGAAGCCATAATTGAAATGTCTGTGAATTTAATTTCAGCTGAGGAAAGGAAATGCTTTAAATTGCTGTGAGTTGTTTCAGTGCTGCATAAGTCCTGCCTGGTGCTACAGGTCCATAAGACCACGTCTACAGTCAGGATCGTGGTCATGATCTTTGGACGACGACTGCTAACATTCAACGAGTGAGCACATCAAAGTAGTTAGCTTGTGCCGATGTACTGACTCCTATTTGTTCCTTTCCCCATCCGTCCTACACACTGGAAAGTGTGGGTGCATCAGTTGGAGTCACTGGTTTTTTCCCAGAGCCACGCTTTATATGAACATCAGGTCTTCTTCAGCTCACACTGAACAGACAGATACTCAGTGTACCATTGTACCCTTCACACAAACATACAAACATCAGCCATGCAGGCAGCAGAGGACCCAGTTGGTTCCATAAAAGAGGGTTTGTGCTGCACATGAACTCAGCATCATCTCCTGCAAACATTAAGGTGAGATAATCCTGCATCATAGAGAGAATACCTAAAGAGGAGAGAGGAGGAGGAGAACAGACATGGATGATCCATTCCTCCTCTCACCTCCCTCTGTACTCCTCGGCCCTCGTTTCCACATGGCAGCTCCTGCCTGCCTGCAGAACTCAGGGCTTAATGGAGGGGAGCTAAGTCCTCGGCCACACAGCACATAAATGCTGTACTTTCTCCAGGAGATGCAGTGGCGGTGGCGATGTGCGTTGCTTTCGTGGGATTCATTCAGGCAGAAAGCACAGCGCAAGCACCATGACGGCATCTTGCTGGTGGCCTGGCTGTCACAGAACTCCACTTCAGCTCACTTCACATTTTGCTTTATGTTCTCAGCAGCACTGAGCATCCAGGACGGCTGACGAGGGAAAGCTAAGTGTGTTAAATGTACACTGTTGAGCTCTAATATGTTTCCCTTGACACTTACTTTTGACATTGAGATACATGGACTTGCTGACATCAGCCCCGACGTCATTGCTGACTCTACACAGGTAGAAGCCGCTGTCTTCTTCCAGCACGTGCTTGATGAGCAGAGAGCCATTGACCAGCACCTCGATCCGAAAGCCTGAGTTGAGGGCGATGGGTTTGAACTGAGGGACTCCGGCGCCTGTTAGAGCCAGACATGGGTTAGTGCTGAAGCAACACAACATTCACAGTTTGCATATCGTAGTTTAATGTACATGCTCTGTTAAGTGTTGGAGGATCCAGCTATCACTGAAGAGCAGGTCAAGCAACACAGAGAACAGAATGTGTGATCTCTCATTCATCATGTGATCACCATGAAGGTGGAGCACTGAACTGCTCCCTGTGCAACTAAATAAGTTCAGACTTGACTTTACGACTGTATAACCTGTTTATGCAGCGAGTCCGATGCCTGGTCAGTTATAGTTCAGTGAATAAATCAGAAATCACAACAACTTTGGTTCTATAACATTAAAGACTTAAATGCATCAGAGGAAAAAGCCCACAGCTGTGTGTCAGACCAACACGATGTACAGGAAACAGACAGCAGCAGGAACTCTGAACACACCCATCACAGAGGTGCTGGATCTCATCACAGATACCAGCACATCTGAAGCAGATGGTCCTAAACTAGTAGGTGGCAAAGGCAGTGAGAAGAACCGCTGAAGAACAGGAAGTCCAGTCCAAAGTCTGTAGGACCGTTCAAAATGTAGGCTACAGGCAAAATAACACTCAGTGATAAGGCCTCGTGTGTGTGTGTGTGTGTGTGTGTGTGTGTGTGTGTGTGATGATTTAACTGCTGCATACATGCACAGGTGTGATGTGTGAGCCGGCAGCAGGTCGGTTCACTGATCAATGAATCCATTCATTCAGTTTCCACTGTTTGCTGATTACGGTGTGTGTGTGCTGACGTAGCTGTCTGTGAGTTGGGCTGAGGAGATTCTGGATGACCCAAAAATAAACACCTAAATGCTGCATACAGGAGAAGCCAGGTCTCTGATCAGTCTGACCCTTCAGGTGCTGGTCTAACTGAAAATAATAGGAGTTAAAACGTGACTCTGACACATCGGTTCCATGAGCATCTCACCGGATACCAGAAAGCTGCAACAACCTCAGCTCAGCTGTCACAGCGACGACAACGTCACCATCAGGTCTTTGTGTTTGGTATTCGTCCAGCTCGGATCCGATTTCATAGTTCGACAGTTTTTCACTTATTTCCTTCTTGTAGAGAAATAAAAAGCTCTCCCTTGAACAGCTGCTGCTTGTTTGGACTGGAGGTGGGTGTTTTATGCATCCAACCCAAGGCTGTGGACATTATGTCGGTTGTGCTGGCATTTGCAAAAAGATTATCTACCACAGAGAATAAGATTGCTGTAGGACAGAAAAATTATCTTTCCACTCAGCATGATTGTCAAAAGAGAAGAGGGGCAAGTTGGAAGTCTTTGAAAGCCTGTAAAACATCCAAAACCCTCAGCAAACCTCAGAGGGACAGCTGTGTGTAGCTGTATGTAGTGTGTGTGGTTTACCTTTAGAGTACTCCCACTGGATGGTGGGAACAGGGTAGCCTTCAGCTGAGCAGTTCAGTATCACTGCCTTCCCATAGATGCCGTCCTGGTCCTTAGGTTGCACCACAAATTTTGGAGGAACTGCAGGTAAAGCAACCTTAGCATTAGGCAGTTTCATTTGAAAACCCAACACAGGCCCACTGGTCACACTGACATGTTGGTTTATGCCACTTTTGATGCATTCTAAGATACAGATGGAGTTAAAATGCAGCTTATGCACTCCCTTCCATCCCTCTCACCTCGGACGATGAGCTGGCTCTGGTGCTCCACGGCAGCAGCTTGGTTGCGTGCGATGCAGGTGTAGTTGCCGTTGTGCATCAGCGTGAGATTGGAGATGCGCAGGGAGCTCGTGAAGTCGATGTTGTCTATGGTGACACCCAGGCTGGCTGGAATCGGCCGGCCATCCTTCTGCCAGGTGATGAAAACGGGTTGGTCGCCAGACATGACCACGCAGGGGATAAACACTCGCTGGCCGATTGAAAACCGGGGAAACTCAAATGGGTGAATTGTAGGTGGGACTGTGGAGGAGACATGCAAATTAATTTTCCCCGCAGGAGTATTGCCACAGGCCTGTGGGTAACATGTCCATAATCCAGGTTTCAGCAAATGGTGCTCAAATCATTCGCCGCTGGTGCACATCAACAGACAACAGCTGTCATGGCTGAGCTCCTCCACAAAGCACTCAAAGAGCAACTCATTAGTCACAAGTCTCTCTTTATCACCTGGCTTTCATGTCAGAACATCGTGCTGTGGTAATTTGTAGGAATGCAGAAATGTTTTATTGCCTCTCCCCATGTGGAGCAGCTGAGTCTCTCTCAGACAACATGCATATAACATTTGCTCTCACTCTCTTCTGCTCTCTGGGGACGCTGTAGCCATCGTGAGAACCAGATGCTTTGGAAAATTAATGATTTAAAATAACATTGGAATAAGCGGCACTTCAGCGCTTATTTAATTCACAACAAAATAGGCATAATAGGCTCCTGGGGATTCCCTCTCGGCAGCGGTGGAATGCTAAGCAGCCGAGAGGCAAATTAGCCGAGGCGGAATCGCGGCGTAGCTTTGTCTACGCGGTGTGATTTCCCCCTCGCACACTCGTTAGCACGTCAAGACCCGCCAGAGAGAGGGGGGTGGATTTGCCCATCCGACATTTCAAATTATGCAGCGTCATTGAAGAAAGAGAGCCATCTGAGGTTATCATCATCTGGCTCGGCTCAGTGCCGCTGCATATTCAGATGAGCTTCAGATAAGCTGGCCGGGATGATGGAGAAGGTGCCTTTCTATCAGTGATGGGAGGCTTTCTCACAGGATGTGATACACAAATATCCCTCTGCATATCTGTGTTTGCTGCAGCTCGGGAAGGCAGATTGTACAGTGACGCTTTAATGTACCGTTTACATGTGAAACATGGCCATTGGATGGAAACAGAACAGGCCAGTGTACGGACCGATAAAGTGCTGCCCCATAGAAATCCAAACATGAATGTACTTCACAAACACTGGAGTGTGACATAATGTGTATGCACAGCTCAAACAAAGCTGCTTACTTGACGCTACAGATTGGTAATATTCATGGTGGATGATTGCACGCAGCTACCAACACAAAGTGTGAAGCTGCTTCCTGTCCATGAGCTGTGTACCTGCAGACAGAGGTTCATACCTTTCACAGTAACGTAGACGCTCTGGTGGGTGGACAGCTGTGGCTGCACCAGCACATTACACGTGTATTCTCCTTCATCCACATCCTTCTGCACGTCAAACAGCTTCAGGGTTCCGTTGTTCTCGAAGGCCCGCTGCCGGTGGTTGTACGGCAGCAGATTGGAGTCCTTGTACCACTTGATGGAGTAGTAGGGGTAGCCAATGACACGGCAGTGGATGTACATGTCCCGCCCAGCGATGGCAGTGAGGTTTTTCATTGGTCTGATGCTGGCAGGCCCTTGAAGGACACATTAGAGAGACAACTCTCTTAAAATGATTTTGAGGCGGGGTGTGGTGTAAAACGAAGCTGTGCTGTGTTGTGTGTGTTTTCAAGACACCACAAAGTTTCCATGCCTTGATTCATTCTGATAGAAAGCGATTCAAACACCACCCAGATGTGCTTCAGATTGCCTGATTCAGTTTGCTTGTAGTCACTCAAAGAAAAGCATCAAAGCAAATCAAACAGGGAGTGGAGGTCCTCTCCAGTCCTCCCATCCTGCTCCAGTGTCCTTCCTATCAAATGTGCATTCTGGCTTCTCACAACCAGGAACTGGTGCACTCTTCTGTTTGAGACTGTGGTGAATATTACCTTCTGCTCCCACCTCTTTGGCGCTGCCTCTGATTGCCTCTGACAAGCATTAGAGTGAAATGTTCCCTTTCTCCACTCATGGAGCTATTATCAAAGCCATTACTCATGTTGCCGGCTTTCACACGCACTTGTGAAAAACCAACAGAATAACCAATAGGCTTCCATAGCTCAGTGTCTATCAGGGAAATGGACTATTAGGCTTCGCTTTGAAGCACTGGAGAAGACAGTTTAACTAGGCTCTGTAGTGTACTTTGAGCACAAGCATATCCTGGGTTGCTACTCTCTTTAGCACGATTAAGGAGCCAACGATGTGAGAAACAGTCATTACACTTTCTCCACAATGGCACCTGTGGAGATTTATCTTCATTGCTTGGCTGCATTCGGCATCCATGGACCCTCGCTTAAGGGCTGGAGGATCGCCCTATTTAGCCTTACAACATGCAAGAATGAACACAATCAAATTAAACCAATCAGTGTACAGAATGTACCATTCCCTCTCTGCAATAGAGAAATACTAATGGCCCTGCACCAAGCACAGAAAGCCTGAGTGCCCCAGTATTACAGCTACATGACAACAGCAATCCAGCCAACCATGTCTCTGTAGAGCGCACACAGCATTACAGTCAAACACGGTAGTACCAGTAAATCACTCTAATGGCGTCCCAGTATAAAGCTATCAGCAGGTGTTTGGTAGGAAGCCGGGCATTAGAAAAGTTAATGCTGACACAGTGACTGATGACAGGAGAAGCTACTGCTGGAGGAGAAGAACTGGAGCAAAGCTGCTTTATACGGTTTATAAACGTGGGAGAAACTTGTGACACATCTGACGACAAAACCCGAATCCTCTGAATGAACTAGTCGGGCATTCTGTCAACATCTGCACATCCGGGCGCTTTGAAACCAGCCAATTAAAAGTTATCACACCAGAATAACTCAAGACATGTTGATGTGTGTATGTGAAGGTGTGCTGGAAGAGTTGATCTGACAAGCACCTCTTACGTTTATTCGCGCCTGGTAGGAAACGGTCCCGGCCGAGTTGTTGCAAATGCAGCGGTACACTCCTCCGTCGGGGACCTGGGTCTGGCTGATGTTGAGGTGGCTGACCACATGGCCTTCAGTGTTGGTGTAGTGGGAGATGCGGTGGCGACTGTCCCGTACCACGGGCTCATCGTCCAGAGTCCACGTCACGCGGGGCTCCGGCGTTCCCTTCACCGTGCACGACAGCGACACAAACTCGTTGATGTTGTAGACCTTCTCGCTGAATGAAGCCAGAATCTTCGGGGTTCCATCTGGACAGAGAAACAAAATCTCATGGCAATATTTATTTTATCATCCTCAACTAAACACTCCTATAATGGCTGATCAGAAAACATTTCTGAAGCCTTTTTAGAGAGAATCTTTAAAATCAAGACTGATTTGCACTCCTTTTCACTGGAGCCCATGCATGTGTGCTGTTTAAAAAGCAGAGTCAGAGAGCAGAGCAGATTCATTTAGCTCCTTTCTCTGGCTCCACAACATCATTGATTATCAATATTCTGCTTATATTGGTGCGGTCATGTGATGCAGACACTGCAGCAGCTTATGAAACAGTCTGCACGCCTGTTTCAGAGAATCTAATAAAGAGAGCTGCGCTACACACAGCAGAGATGAGCACAGACATGCAGTTTGGACCCACATGTGCATAAACAAACACCAGCGCACACAATGCAAAGCGCTTCTATGTGCCAAATAAATCCCTTATTCTGTCCTGTATGTGCTGTATGATAACCTCCCACCCACACCTCTCCCTGTAAGTTCTCACCTTCCAGGATGACTTGAACAAAGTCCTGGGCGGACATCTTGCCATGTCTAGCAAAGCACTGATAGGCTCCTCCATCGCTCTTGGCCATTCCAGCCATGACCAGGTTCTCTCTGTTCTGGCCTGTCATGCGGACGCTGTTGCTGGGGTAGATGAGCTCTCCGTTGCGGTACCAGGACAGCTGGTACTCCTCAGAGCCGGTTACACTGCAGGACAGTGAAACCTGGCTTCCCACGCTGCCCTTCACCTTCCGCGGACTCACCACAACTTTCAGGGGCTCTGTAGGTAAGAGAGGTAACAGTTCAGCAACTGCTTCAAGATAGGACGATGGTTGATATAAGTTCTCTACAGTCTGAAATGTTAAAAATGTTTGTGGTCCCATACCGCGGCCCAGGAGCACTGACCTTTCACCAGCAGCCTGCCAACCACCTCGGCGTTGCCGTAGCCGTTCCACACCTCACACACGTACGTCCCCGTGTCGCTGGACTGAGCGCGCTCTATCAGCAGGCCCGTCACACTCTGTCTGAAGCGGGTGTCTGGCTCCAGCGGCCGGTTGTCCTTCAGCCAGCGGTATTTGGGCGCGGGGTGACCAGAGGCCTTGCAGGGCAGCTCCACTCGATGAGACGCCATCACCTCACGACGCTCAAAGCTGTCTAGGATGTGGGGCGCTGAGTTGGTGGGATCTGCGGGGGCCAAAGCACAGGAAGAGATTTAGCTATTCTTGTTGTCTAAACAATTTCAAACTTAATTTTTAGAGCATTCAGGTGTGGCTAGTAAAGTATAACCTGGAATCATTGGTAAAACTGAGTATTTGTATTTATCCCCATAATACTGGTCTCTGGATAAAATGCATTCACTGAGAGCGTCTCATGTTTTATGGTCATCATGCTGGTCCAGTGGCTGAAGGGAAACTGATGCCGCTGATGGCCAGGCATGGCATCCCCAGAAGTTAGGGTGACAAAAATCCTCTTCATACTCAATATTCCCATTTAACCAACAATGGCATGTGGACACAAGCTTAAAGAGACACTCCAGCAATTTAGCACTGCACATATAAGACACAAGACAAAGTGTAGATGATTGTAAATTGAGGGGACAGAGGTCAACATAGTGTGATTTTTAGAGTCCTGGTTTAAGCTTCCTTCCTCCCCACAATACAGCTCCACAGGGTGAATGTCTGCCACCCTATAACACAGGCTTCTGTTCAAATCCACATTGTGTGGAGTGTCCCTTTAAATGGTTTAAGGAAAAGAAGGGAGGTTGTGTGTCCTGAGACGCTCCCCCACACTGGCACAGCTCTCATGACCTTTATCACATGCCAGCCCCTCTTTAATTCAAGCGTTTTTTTCCTGTCAGCCTCCATTCGGCTCAAATGATCTACATGATTTTCTACAAGCACACATTTATTTCCATATGGCCCTCTGTCATGTGCGCACTATTTTTGAGACGGAGCAAAATCAACAGTTCAGCGGCTGTTCAGCACGTATTACTGTATGACTGAGTGGTTCTGAGGACGGAGACCATGCTCCACATTACTGGCCCTTCATGTTTCGTATCGCTTTGTCCACTTGTGTCACATTTAGTCTGGCACACATTAAAGTATCTCTACTTATAAAAAAGAGAAATAGAGCAATTCAGCACCATGTGATGTGGTGCATATGTGCCTGTGGACACTGCTGATGCATCCTTTCAACATGGTCTTACCTGAGACAATGAGGCGGGCGCTATTGCTCTGTCGGGTCTCTCCTGTGTACCGATGGCGTGTCATACACCTGTAGTTGTACAGCCCGTCTTCCATTTGCACATCCAGGATATACAGGGCTCCCGTGGATGTGATGAGAAACCGTGACACTGGAAACAGAAAAAAAGAAGAAATTAAATAAGTGCACATTACTGACATGCTGTATGTTAAACTGCTACAACAATAAAAGATCATCTTTAAAATGACATCCTGCATAAACGCTCCACCTGCCTGTGGGCCACTCACTACCAGATATGTCACCTTTATGCGACCTAGCGTCTGAGCACCGTATGTAGCCTCTGGTCAATCAGGATAATGTTGGACATTTGGAAAAGCTGTTTGTAGCTACGGTGCAGGATCTCCTCATGAATCACTGAGTCCCTACTCGGCTTAATCTGTCTGGTATAACAAGAGCTACAGAAAAACATTGAATAAAATACAACAAAATAAAAATGAAGTGTGGTGTGACTTCACTTTTACACAACAGAAATACACTCTATACATTATGATGACATATCCCTGTGGTTTGACTGCAACATTATGTCCCTACAACCATCCATCCATCATCTCTACACCTTCATCCTCACCAGGGTCATGGGGGGCGGGGCCTATCCCAGCTGACTCAGGGTGAAGGCAGGTTCACCTGGACAGGTAACCAGTCTATCACAGGGCTACACTTAGAGACAGACAACCAAGCACACTCACATTCACACCTACGGACAATTTACAATCACCAATTAACCTCAGCATGTTTCTGGACTGTGGGAGGAAGCCGGAGAACCCGGAGAGAACCCACGCTGCACGGGGAGAACATGGAGACTCCACGCAGGAAGATCCCGGGTGTCCTCACCGGGACGCCAACCAGCGACCTTCTAGCTGTGAGGCCACGGTGCTTACCACTGATCCACCTGCAGCCCTCCCTGCAATCACTGTCTTTTAGAAAATGCCAACATACACTTAAATGAACTGAAGTGCTTTTTCATGTTTTGCCAACCTGGTGGCATCTGAAACACTGTGAGACACATGAAGAGAACAACTACAGATCAGTTGCCTTCTGAGTTCATCACAAGAGGCATCAGTGCTGCTTCTCAGTCACAGGCTATAGAGGAGGAAACACATGTGCTCATGTTTATGCACTGGATTCACCAGCTTACACATTCTAAAAGAAGGAAATACAGAAAATCCAATATTGAAGTCTCTTAGCAAATATTTGCAAGTCAAGTGAGGTACACAGCTCTGTGTGATGTAGTCACCAAACATCTGCTGCAGCCCATTTAGCTCAGCGCAGCTCTGAGGCGCAGTGACAAGGCTGTGTGTTGTGTAGAGTGTAACACAGCTCGTTATCATGTAGCTCATCGCTCTCCTCTCTCCCTCTCTCTCTCGGGGGAGACTCTCTCTCTCAGGTTCTCTCTCTTTCTTTCTGCTCCAGACTAAAGCGCAGGGAGCCGGGATCACAGAGCGCTTTGATAAGGTATGGCTGTGTAGGTCGGATGTGCTAATATCATGCTAATATAATGCTAATTTGTGTGAACACATGGAAGTGGAGAGAGGTTGTCAGTGTTTATGAGGAGCGATGTGTGCTGTAGCTGGTGGCTGCGGGGGTATCTCATGTCACCGATGATGGAGAAGCCAATCTGGGACGGGATCAAACGGGGCCGCCGTATGGAGAGGGATCCTGGCAATACTGCTAGAGATGTCATAATGCAGATTTTATGAGGTGTTGAATTACCCTCATTTAGACCCGTCATGACAGTTCAACACAGATTAAGACTGCCGGTACCAGGTCCTGCACAGCACATGCCTAAAATAATGGAAAGGGCTGTAATAGTGCAAAATGTGATCATTGTGCAGGAGATGATTCTGTGCAGCAGCCCGACCATAAATCACAGATTACTGCAAACATCAGGAAAATCAAAGTCACAACCGGCATCTAGATTTATGTTTTGGATTTTCCAGGAAGCCTCATTGGTAAGTTCAGCACAAAATGAGCTAAACTTTTATTATGAATCCCCGGACAGTGTTGGTGCAATAAAAAGGTAGGAATGGGGGAGAAACCAGAAGGAGAGTGAGGATGCTACGGTGAGCAAGTGTTGACCCAGTTAGAAATGAGAGACCAAGGATTGGATATCCTGAAGGAGGTTTTTTTTCAGCCTGTGGCTGAGACACTTTAATATGTGACAGACAACGAGTGATAAAACGAGAGCAAAGGGACAGGTGTGTGTGTCCATAGCTGGTAATTACTGAAGCACCGAGACGAGCCAGAACATCACATTTACATTCCCCGGCTGCAAATGCAGTTTGTCTTCAAGGAAAGAAACCGTTCAGAGAAAGCAGATATGAAAGGAAGCGGGAACGCAGGCTGTCTCCTCGGTCTTCCCTCTCTCCTTTTTCCTTCTTTCCCTCTGAAAGTTGTCTGGCATCAAAAGCTGACAGGCTTATGAATGAGAGGGGCTTTCATTAGAACAGACAGCCTGTCACTGTGACAAAAGGCCTGGCCTGGGAGAGGGCTGCACGCCTGTGTTTTAAAGGCACGTTGAAACAGACACACACACACATTCAAACATATGTTTCCATGCTTCTGTGTACGCAAGTCAGGTATCCGATATATGCAAGAAATCCCGTGTATGTTCAGTCCTGGAAGCACTGTAAAAGCCATCATTACACTGCACTGGTCCAGGACTGCTCCACTGCTGCTGAACAGGTCAGTTCTTATGTACACTAGAGCCAGACTACGCTGCTCAGAAACAGAAATGCACTTTGTGCCACCTTCTGGTTTGTCACACAAATGGTTCAGGTCTGCATGATTCCAAGTGCACAGAACGAAACAAGAGAAAGTGACATCCGGTGCTGATGCACACGCGTACAGGATGGCTGCAGCAGAGCTGGCCAACCCTGCCCCCAGTTCTCATTCACATCAAACCTTATGTCTTGTTTTTAGTACATCTGGCAACGGAGCCTTTTGTAGTCTGATCCCTCCCTGGCAGTCTCCTGCAGATATATCCCTGATATCCACCCACTGGGTCCAGGAGAGGCATCTCATGGTACCGACTAACCATCACCTCTGTGAGGAACAGAACGCCTCTATGGGGGAGAGGAATGGGAGGAAGGTGGAAGACGAGCACCAGTGTGCTGGTGTGAGCTGGAGTCACTCTGGGACTGAAGGAGACATGCAGCTACCAAACCGTCTGCAGTCGTCCATCCAGGGCGAAGAGTTCACACATTTTTATATTTTCCTGCTTTTTGATGTCGTGACATAACTGTCGTCTAGTTAATCATAATTTTGTGTGATGTTGATTTTAAATATCAGTTTGCCAGTTTCACCAGAATGTGGTCACTAAATGCACATTATGTCCATTTTATTTCCGGTTCTCAGCTCCACCAGACTGTAACACAGGAAGCTAAGGGAGACATCTGATAATACTGGATTAGTGTAATGTGGTGTTTCACTTTTAAAGGACAACAGCGTCAAAGGTCAGTCTGTTGTTCTTTAGTTCCTGGTCAGCTTCACAGAAAGCCGTCTGACACTTCTGAGGTGACCAAACAAAGTCAGCAGCCAGATGGAGAGCAGCATCTCTTCACTCGTCTTCATCCTGCACTCACCGTACCACCAAGCCTTTTGTTTAGACAGAAGCTGAACTGTTGGGTGGTTTCTCAGTAATCAGAGGTCTGATTGTTGTAGAGCCTGAACCTTCCAGTGCTGCTCAGGAGTAGCAGGAGATAAATTATACGTGTATATATACGTGAGTAAAACGCTGCTGTGAAGGCCAGACTTAGACCACTGCAGTCCGAACAGAAGGTGGTGGTTGGTATTCCTTTGAAATATAAAAAGTGTTCTGGGCTGTTGTAATTGATTACATTCATGGTTCCTGGTTAGATTCCACTTCTTTCTTCCCCCAGCCTGCTGGCGTTCACCACCACCAACACAATCGATTGTCTGACACAGAGCTGCAGGCCTACACCACTGTGTGTGCATGTCCTTGTAAGCTGAGGGCATTTCTGTGTTTGCTCCTACCGCTGCATTTATCTCACATCCCACTGGCTTGTGTGTCTGTATATTAAAGTCTTTGTGTGCGCGAGCGGACATGTTTCTATGCACGTGTGCATGCAAGTGAGTGTGAATGTGTTTATGCTGCATACAGCTGCATGGAGGAACGGTCAATAATAACGATCGAAGGCACTCCACTACGCTTTTCCTTGCTCCTCTCTGCTCCACCTACTGCATACTAACGCTGCCTGAGAGACAGCCTCCACTGTTCTTGCAGTTTGTGTGTGAGCATGCTGGACATATGAGCACGTGTTTGTGTCCACACCTGGGCGTTTTAGTGTATATTTCTGAAACTATGGCTTCACTTCACCCCAGGTGGCTTGCAGGACTATCAGTCGTCTCCTCTTCCCTTCCTCGGCCCGCCCAGCTGCTTTGGCATCATTGGTGCCACAAACACAAGTCCCTTTCTGTGGATCCACACTCAATAGCTTCAATTAATCCCCATATAAGCCACACTGAGCCTGCAAGTAGACTCTTTGTTCACTTCAACTGGGAGGCTTCGCAGTTTGTCACTGCAACCAAAATTGCTTGTGAGACATAATAGAAACAGTGAGAAGAGCCTGAATTACGTCCATATTACAACGTGGTTGTCACACTTTCCACCAGGACAGCTTGCACTGGAGTAGATGTGTCCTAACTGGGCACACAGGTTAATGTGAACCAAGGACTAAGAGAAGGATTTCTTCTGAGGTGGAACACGATGACACACGCTCACATAGCTGAGCAGGTTGACCTTTGCTTGCTGGGGAACCATCTGGCCCAAAACCTGCACTTTAACTTAAAGAGTTAGCTTGGCTCCCTGAATCATTTCAGTATTCTTTAATTGAGACGTGAGTGGAGGAAAGACGAGCTGTGAGGAGGGGGTGAAGGAATAGAGAGCGAGAGAAAATAAAAGATCAAGAGAGAAAGAGCACCTCTGGGATACAACCACTCTCTGTCATCTAAAATGACTTACAAATTAGCTTACAGCTACGCGCTCCCAGTGAAGGAAAAAAAGGCACAACTTTCATATGCTAATTCAGATCATGGCTAGGCAGAGCAATTATCAAAAAAAGTGTCAGCCCC